ATATATATATATATATATATATATATATAATATATATATATATATAGTATATATATATATATATATATATATATATATATATATAATATATACATATATGTGATATACATATATATATATATATATATATATATATACACGATAATGTTTTGAACACACACTCACCCAGACACACATAGACACACGCACACACACGCGCACACTGCCCAGCCGCCCTTCATATGCAACAGAAGACTTTTTGAGAAATGTGCCTCTCTATCCACTCTAACCCTGTGTCTCTGTTCCACCCACTTTCGACGAATTCCAATTGGCAAAGAACATACAGTGGAACTCCTTGGCAATGGCGGAGCAACCCTCAAGACCCGGGTTTTCCCCCTGATGCTAAATGTATGGGACTCTAAGCACTTTCAAGACGCCTTCAGAAGTGCCCTCACAGGGACCATGTTCGAGAAGGGGAACCGAAGCATTTGCAGCAACTACTTGCTCTCCGGCGCTGGGAAGTGTTTTTGCGATCATCTTAAATAGGCCACAGGAAGATGCTGAAAAGATCTTTCTAGAATCCCAGCGTGGTTTCCGAGCGGTGAGTGGAACTATCGACGTGACCTTCTGTGACAGACAACTGCGAGAAAAGGCACGATACAGCAGAAACCACTCTTTCTCTTTTTCTACGACCTTGAAAAAGAACACGACAGCGTTCCCAGAGAGGCTACGTGGGCAGTCATGTGGCTTTTGGGTATCCAGACCCATTTGTCAGGCTGATCTAGGCTATACATGTTGATATGCCGGCCCGTGCCATTCATCACGACGTAGGGTTAGAAGAGTTTTCCATTTTCTGTGGACTGAATCAGGGTTGTGTGCTTTTCTTTCTCTGCCTGGCTGCAATATTCCATGAAGTCTCACCAGACGACCCAGCTGTGGTTGTAAAATACTGCTTTGATGAAAGCCTGTTCAACTTTGCTCGATTCTGATCATGATACCGTACCAATACCAGAGTTATGGAACGATGCAGCCTCGGCCCATTTTACAAGAGAGCTTCAGCAGTCAGTCAACAACTTTAATGCTCCAACTTCGGTCTCACCGTGAACGCTGGCATCGAAAATCCTTGCCCAACCTCTCCCGGCAGCTGAGCCTCTAGATTGCAACCTTTCCATTAGAACCCTTACTTTGACATAGAGAGAGAGACAGATGAGAAGAACAGAGAGAGACAGACAGATAATGAGGGAGAGGGAGAGAGAAACAGATTTTTCATCCAATGCATCTTCTTTCCATCCAGTGCATCTCCGCCGGACGCTGAAAACAGGCTCCGAGCAACATACGCTACTCTAAGGGTACTCACGAACGGCATCGTCACCAGCTATGATCTCAGCCAACTCACCAAACTGATGGTCGATAATCCCGTCGCTGTTTCCACCTTTCTGTTTGGCTGCGAAACATCTTGACTTACGACGTTTCGTGGATATGACGATAGAAATGTACACTACAGGGGTTCCTCGGTTTACGACGGTCTCTTTTTGGCTGCGAAACATCTCGACTTACGACGTTTCGTGGATATGACGATAGAAATGTACAGTATTTACAGTTTGTCTTCCATGTGTTCCTTTAGCCCTGGTTATGTTTTCATGTACGTCATAGAAATGTCTTGTTATGTTTTAGATTATGACTTTAATACATGTATACATACTGCATTAGCATATGCGATGTTCCGACTTTCGTCAAAATTCGGGTTACGACACCATCGTAGGAACGGATCTCCATCGTAAGTCGAGGACCCCCTGTATATCGCCGTGACCTGAGGAAGTTGTAGTAGTTCCATCAAAAAAGTCTTTTTAAAAATCAGCTGGGATGAGAATGTCAGCCACGATAGCATCCTTGACAGAGGGGCACAGCAATCATGAGGCATCAGCTTAGATGGTCAGTACATACGCAGTGAGGAGACGAGAACCCCAAGGAAGTTTCTTTCGGTGAGCTGAGCTTGCGACGTAACAAGGATCAAGGAGGTACTCAAGACTACCATCATCGGCCCTAAAGAGTGGGAGTCGAAGGCCAAAGAAGCATCAAGCTGGCAGGCGCCGATCTCTTCGAAGCCAACGCAGGAGCAGACCTTGAAACAAAAAGAAGAAAGGAAAAAGCCCGGCGACCTCAACCATCGCCGACCAGAATCGGTTCCTGAATCACCTAATAGCGCATCTGCCGACGATGTATGTTGTAAATATATACATACACACATATATGATATATATTATATATGCACATATATGCATACAAATATCCACAAACACAACAACACACACACACACACACACACACCACACACACACACACACACACACACACACACACAACAACACACACACACACACACACACACACACACACACACACACACACACACATATATATATATATATATATATATATATATATATATATATATATATATGTATATGTGTGTGTGTGTGTGTGTGTGTGTGTGTGATATATATATATATATATATATATATATATATATATATATATATATATATATATATTATATATATATGTATGTATATGTATATGTATATATATTATATTATATATATCTATATATATATTATCTATTATTATATATATATATATGTATGTATATATATATATATATATATATATTATATATATATATATTATATATATATATATATATATATATATATATTATATATATATACATATATATATATATATATATATATATATATATATATATATATATATATATATATATATATATATATAATATATATATATATATATATATATATACATGCAAACACATATATGTATATCCATTTAACCATCCATCTATCTGTTTATCTATAGATCTACTTGCATTTAACCGAAGGTTGATCGGATACCGTATAGTAATATCTAATATTCACTTTAATACCACAAAATATGTTCTTACTAAAATTTAATATACATTTAACATTACCTCAACAGATGTCAATACATTTATATATCATTCTACTGATGACATCACATCCCCTTTAATCTTCGTCAATGTCAAAATTACGATTGTTCTAACAACTACTTTACTATCATTATCATTATTGTTGTTGTGACTAATATTGTGATTGTTATTCGTATTATTGATATTAACATTATCTCTACTATCATTAAAATGTCCGTTTGCCGATACATTTGGTACACACTCTAAGAAATCCGAGAGAAATGAAAATTCTTGCAGGTATATCGACAGCACACTTGGGCACCAAGTGACTGCAAGATATTCATGGTTTGGGGTTTGGGGATTTACAAAATCGTTTCGATCAGTCCAGTTGAGCTTAGTTTCTGCTTGTGTTAATAGATATAAATTTTCGTGTAGAAAGAAGAAGAAAAATGTTATAGGAGGAAATCAGTCAAATATACAAGCTGTGAAGACCGTTTTATAGATTTTGGAGTAAAAAGAAGAAAAAAAAAATTATATAAGGATATCAGTCAAATATACAAGCACATAACAGCTGTGAAGACCGTTACGAAATATTAAAACACTGGGACGCAATGGACTTCAAAAGAGGCAAACATGCAACAACACAATGAAACAGTATGGTAAGTACATATATAAAACGTCCAATAAATATGATATAAGGAAAAGCGCATGGCAATAGGCGACCGTATTTCTTTAGGAGTCGCCAGAATCGGTGCTGCTCTTCTGTGTCCGTCGTTGTCAAGGGCTTAATAGAAGATAGATGCAGATAAAAAAAACTTTAGATTGTTTTTTTTCTTTTCTGCATTAAATCCAACATTTATTTCGTAGTATACCAAGACGTGATAAAAGTAGAATGAAAATTATTATTTACAAAAAAAAGGAAAATCCAAATAAAAGTATTTCTATCATACTTTTCTAACAATGTACAAACAAAACATTTTACTCTGATTTTGCAACTGTTTGGGAGTGTGTGGGTGTTGGAGGATGTCCTGTCGCCAAATCAAAATTCAAAAGGAAACATTTCGAACATAAGAAAAAAACAATGTTTCAAATAATTCATGGAGACGGAAATACTCTGCTTAATATGACGGTCAACATGCAAGTACCCATACAAACTAAAAACAATTGCATAATCTGAAGAAAGCAAGGAGAAAGAATGATTACTGTACATGAAGGTAACTTTCAGAG